AATACAAAGGTCCCCGAATTCCCCAGGATATACCCAAGCGTTTTTTGGGAGAGAGGTGATCATTTTAATCAGCTTCCCTTTAACTCAAAAAAAAATTTGCTCAGAAAGATGCATTGTCTGTGCCAAACAAAACGCGGCAAAAAGAGCAAAGCACTCGGGTTTTGTGTGAGGAATTAGGTGCCTTGTGCATGGTGCCTTTTTCAAGGGGTTCCACAAGCTCCAGCAGTTCTAAAACCATTCCAGTGATTGTAAATATGTAAAAAATTTGATAGAACTTTGTATTATACAATATTTTTGCATGTTTTTGAATAAAAAACAGTGGTAAAAAAATAAAATGATAACTTTTTGTGCAGTTATTTTGTTCAATACTGAGTTTATTCAATTTATAAGTATTGGTCTCTCACCCAATGTTAGTAGGAATAGAAAAAAAAATTGGAAAAAAAAAGAAAGAACAACAAAAAAATATAATCGTACCGTATGTGGAATTCGTCGATGTTCCCCCACCCATCATTTCTATAAAATTCTTGGGGATGTATCTCGGTAAGTATGACGATTCTTTTATTTTTTTTTTTTATTACCTTCCAAAAATATGCTCTTTTAATTTTGTAAGAAAAAAATTTTTTTTTTTTTCATAATTTCTTGGACATGGGGGGTGATTCAGATTTTGGCCTTTTACTCTGAAGGGGTTTTAAAAAGACACCCGAACAGAGCTCTCTGGACGTTTTTTTTTTTCGAGAAGGGCTCCCGGGACTCTCAAACTGGTCCTAGTGGCATTAGAAACAGAGAAAGAAGTAACCCAGAAAAAGGGTTGTAGTACTGAGGTGTTGATGGAAAGGGGATTTCCCTTCCCAAAAAGTAAACTATCCCAAACTCTTCCTCCTCCAGTCTTCCATACACTAAGAAGAATCACCAATAAAGGTAAGTGTTATGCTGTTAATGTTTCATTCATCATGTCCCATTGTATTGTTTATGTACTACATCTATATTTCATGTAAAAAAAATTTTTGTTTTAATACTTCTGGGTGTCAGGAACGGATTAATTGTATTTACATTATTTCTCATGGGGAAAATTGATTCGAAAATCGTCTATTTCGATAATAGTCCCACTTCCAGGAATGGATTAAGGACGATAAACAAGGGACCACTGTACTCTGATAATTATACTTATGTTTACCTGTACCTAAATAAACTTACTGTGCTGGCATGCAGGTACACATTAAGACCACTAAGTGTCTTATTAGTCTTGAAGATGCATTATTAATAATGATAATAACACAATAATAATCGAGACACTTATGCAACACATGGGAATCTTTTATTGAAGAAACGTTTTGCCACACAGTGGCTTCATCAGTCCAATACAAAGTAGAAAGGCATAAGGAGAGGAGGAGTTTGAGGTACTCAGTCCCTCAGCCTGGAGTCGATGTGTTCAGTCCATCAATCTTGTAGAATGTACATATTTATGTTAATGTATTCTACTGTGGGTGTATTTATCATGATTATATACGACATTTAATGCATCTCAGTGATTATTATTGTGATGAATGGTTTAGAAAACCGACAAGTTGAAGAACTGAGACACTTATGCAACACATGGGAATCTTTTATTGAAGAAACGTTTTGCCACACAGTAGCTTCATCAGTCCAATACAAAGTAGAAAGGCAAGATTGATGGACTGAACACATCGACTCCAGGCTGAGGGACTGATTACCTCAAACTCCTCCTCTCCTTATGCCTTTCTGCTTTGTATTGGACTGATGAAGCCACTATGTGGCAAAACGTTTCTTCAATAAAAGATTCCCATGTGTTGCATAAGTGTCTCAATTCTTCAACTTGTCGGTTTTCTAAACCATTCATCACAATAATAATCACTGAGATGCATTAAATGTCGTATATAATCATGATAAATGCACCCAAAGTAGAATACATTAACATAAATATGAGATGTTTTTCCAATTGTTTGGTCAGTGTCAGAAAGAATAAAGTTTTCTCTAGTTCAAAACCAAAGAAAATGTGTACATAATAGTATTACTGGGGTAACTGTAGAAAATTATTTCTTTTATATGCCTTCACTCAGAGCATTATTCCTTCTAAAAATGGTGTGTTACATGGGAATGGGAGTGTTGCACTTTATATATTGTACTGTACCAACATTGAGACAACTTGTACACAATGTAAGGTGTTTGTATTATGATATAAGCTTCACAGAGGTCCGACTTTTTTGGGTTATCCTAGGGACTCTCACACACATGCTGTTATGTATGATAATCTGTGTAACTGTATTTGTGTATACCTGAATAAGCTTACAGACATGGAAGTGAATGTGTATCAACCATACCCAGACACATTCTTATGTTTGTTTGCACACTCTGTGTCTCTGTCCTCTCTCATTTACTTGTACTCTCTTGTTATTCATTTTTATCCCGTTTACTCACCTCTCACCGTACATTAAGACTAAAAATATTTTAAGGTAAGTAATGAGTCCTAGGTAGTAGGTTGGTAGACAGCAACCGCCCAGGGAGGTACTACCGTCCTGCCAAGTGAGTGTAAAACGAAAGCCTGTAATTGTTTTACATGATGGTAGGATTGCTGGTGTCCTTTTTTCTGTCTCATAAACATGCAAGATTTAAGGTACGTCTTGCTACTTCTACTTACACTTAGGTCACACTACACATATATGTACAAGCATATATATATATACACACCCCTCTGGGTTTTCTTCTATTTTCTTTCTAGTTCTTGTTCTTGTTTATTTCCTCTTATCTCCATGGGGAAGTGGAACAGAATTCTTCCTCCGTAAGCCATGCGTGTTGTAAGAGGCGACTAAAATGCCGGGAGCAAGGGGCTAGTAACCCCTTCTCCCATATAAATTACTGAATTTAAAAAGAGAAACTTTCATTTCTCTTTTTGGGCCACCCTGCCTTGGTGGGATACGGTCGGTTTGTTGGAAAAAAAAAAAAAGCAATGAGTGTACTGTACATGCATTTTATCATTCTAGGGTGCTTTAAATGTCGTAGAACATTATGTGTGGGTGGGTTGGCAAGGAAGGCTACCATACCTACCACACCTGACTTCTTACAATAAATACACCTACCATCCGACTTACGACCGAGTTCGGTTCTGAGAAACCGGTCATAAGTCGAAATGGTTGTAAGTCGAACTTTACTACTGAATATCAACAAAACATTTTTGTAATGACTTTATTTTATTGTTTTATTTTGGTATTTCATGTTTTACTTTACTTTTTATGTTGTTAGTACTGTATTTTATACTGTAAGGTTTAGGATAAACACTGTGTACAACACAAATAGTTGTTTATTTCCCAGAAATTTGGCATAAAAAACACGGTCGTAAGTCGAGTGGTTGTAAGTCGAGCAGGTCGTAAGTCGGATGGTAGGTGTACTATTCACCTCTCACCCTACATTAAGACTACAAATATTTTGAGGTAAGTAATGAGTGTACTGTGTGTGTATTTTACTTTTTATTGTTTTTGTAATGCCTAGTTCTGTTGATAACATAATATATATTAGTGTAAACTTGTTATCTGGCATTTATATGCATTTATAAGTGGAAAAAATGGTATTCTGCTTTCTGGCGATGTCCACTTTCTGGCAGTAGCCTGGAACCTAACCTACCGTATAAGTGGGGCCCTACTGTACTGAGTGGTGAGCATATTTATTGTAGGAAGTCTGAATAAGTGAAGACTGGATATAATTAACCCTCTCACTGTCGAGACCCCTGCTTACAAACTTGCTCTCAGTGTTGAAGAATTTAAAAAATATATTTTTTTTTTCTTACAAAACGATAATCTCTTCCCAATGGTAATGACACCAAAGGTACAATATTTGATCAAAAACTTACGGAATTATGCTCTCACGAAGTTACAGTCTCAGCAATATTTATGCATCAGTGATTTTGCCCACTTTGAGCCCTATTTTTGGCCAATTCCATTGTTCCAGTCGACCAAACTCATAGCTATTTCGCTAGAACTCCTTTTGTTCTATCGACTGAGTGCAAGAAACCACCCATTTACCGATTTCAACTACCCAATAAAGTAATCAGAAATTGGTAATTTGGTCAATTTCATGTACAATTCTAGGGTCCAGAATTAACAATGCAAATATTTCTAGCACTAAAATAGCATTTTCTCTGTTCATTAGTCACATCTCTAGGCTCCTCTTATATTACATTTGCTTTCCATTTTGAGTTTTTATTCACACAAACAATAGAATATTTACTGTTATGCAGACCGCTGCATTATTGTAAAACTGGTATAAATAATATCAGTGCATTTGTGAAATCATATTAGACCCACCAGTTGATGTGTATTGGACACTTGACGTGATTTGTTTACTCTTGAACGTCACCAAAAATCTAACATTTCCACTACTTTGAGCTCAGTATCAAGGCACTTTTATTCTGTAAAACATTCAAAATCATCTCTTTTTTCTGTAACATATCTTCCATTCTATCAAATGAGACCAAGAAAACAAGAATACAACCATAAATACCATGTGAAAATACACCACAAAATCAGTGTTTTAAACCAAAAACATGGTCGGAGTTCTTTTTTCTCATGCACTTCGTGCAAGATTTTTTTTTTTTTTTTTTATACTGCGCACACTGACCACTCAGACCCATTCTCTCATATGTAGGCCTACCAGCTTTCTCCCACAAGATGTGAAGCCACTAAAATTTTGGCATAATATTACAGGACCAACACTGGCTTGTAAGCCGTAATATTATGGGACCGACAGTGAAAGGGTTAAAAACCACTGTATCAGCGAAACACTGTAAAGCGGGGCCTGCCTGTAAATGAGTATTGATTATTGATGTAAATAACTTATATTATTGTGTAATGCTCATTTATTGTGAAAATTCCAAAATTAGCTTGTATATATTGTCCACAGCTTCTGTTCTGATAGTAAAAGATTGAAAAAATTATGAAGTGATAAAATATTCTTTTATTGATGATTTGCCATAATATTTTTTTTTTCAGATTTGTACTAAATTGCCACAAGCCACAAACAGAAAGTTATCTGTCAAAAGTCAGGCAGTGGATGATGTTTTAGAAATATTAATTAAAAATGGAGGTAAGATATGAGACTGTGCCAGTTTAAATTGAATAAAATTTTAGGATACACAAAAAGCTGTAATTATTTGAATGTGTAATAAATTCTGAAGTAGGTGAAATTTTTGTATTTGTTGACTCACAAGCATTATTGGTTTAATATTTCAGAGCTTCCACCTAGTGCTGCTCAGGATCCTCATACTCCAACTCAAATAAGGTGTAGTCGAAGTGGACCAATCTTCACTACCACATCAGTTACCTCTTCTGTCATCTATACTACCACGTCAGCTGGTGCTCCCATTTTTAGCACCACTTCTGGTGCATTGCCAATCATTTTTACCACTTCTGCAACTTCATTACCTGCAGTATACACTACCACCAATGCTGTTCCAACCACAGCAGAAGCTGCAGTCCCACCACCTCCACCACCACCCCCACCTCCACCTCACCATTCTAGTCAGCGCACCACTTCTGCTACGTCAACAACTTCTCAAGGCCCAGCAGTGTTAAGTGTTGCCAACTCCTGTCCATCCCCAATAGTCACCAGTGGCTTAAATTCTCATTCACTTTTTGCAGACCTAGTGATGGAGGGGTCAAACCAACATAGTCTGGAACTTCCCTTAGATCTGGAATTATCTGTGTTGGAGGGTATGGAACTGGGTGCCTTGGAACATACTCTTGACCACAGCAACATAACTCCTGATCTTCTTATTCCAAGTAGATCAGATGAGCCATTTGTCAGTGTAGGCCCACCGATAGATGTTAAGATGGAAGTGAACGATGATGTTGATGTTGCATCGTGGCTTGACTCTTTGGTTCCTCCAACTCATAGCCCAACACTGTCTTCAGCTACTACGAACTTTATTACACCTTGGCCTCCATCTCAACTAACATCAATCTCTGATAACAACAGTGATAGTGGTATAAGCAGTAATTATAATAGTGGCAGTAGCAGCAGTAACAGAGGAGGTAACCACAGTAGTTGCAGTACCAGTAGTACAAGTAGCAGTGGTGGCAGAAGTGGTATAAGCGTGCACCAAAGTGATCCTCTGCTCTCTAATAATCAGGACCAACTGGACCTCTTTAACTTAGAGGAAATGGACCTCAAGGCCCATGATGTAACGTCAGGCCTATCATGGGACCGCATTGATTTTACTGCATGAGAGTAGTGTACCAGTCATGCAGTCAGTCACCGTGTTACTATCTGGTCAATGTAGGTCCTACTGCAGAACCATTGACTAACAGTGTTAAGTCAAGGGACCACTAACTGCAGTAGATTTCAACCTTGACTGATCAGAGTGAAGTGCTGCTGCATCATGAGTGACTGGCAGTACGCTACTTTGGCTACTGACATATAAGTTAATGTCTGTGATGACAAATGAGTGCCTTACAAGTACTCTAACAAAAGGACCATTGAATATTTAGTTAATATTTAGGTTGTGTTCAGCCAACTCCACACAATTCCCTATTATTCCATTTTGACTACCTGTCATGTAGATCATGCTCACAATCATTATTAGAAGTTTTAAAAACTTACTAAAATATGAAATCTTTCTTTAAATTTTTCAGTGTCAAGTGGTATATATATGATATGTATTTGTAAATATTTCCTTCTTGTAAAATGGTGCTGTTTTGAATATTTAAAGTTGTTTGAGTTTTCTCCGAGATATATTGCACTCATCAGCTAATCCTGAAATTAGGTCAGGTCTATCAGTATGTAATAAATGTATTATAAGTTTTGGGAACAAATCAACCCCTTCCATAAATTTTGCTGTGTGCTTGCCTTACAGTTGTGGAGGCTTGAAAGTAGAACATTAATTCTTGTTGAATTAATAGCTCTGTACATACTTTATGACTAGAATATGTGACTGAATGCAGATTCAGTCATCTCTGCTGTGATTATTAGCTATGTTTGGAGCAGCCAATTAGGTTAACCCACTGAAGGCAGGCACACAGTGTAACCATTCCATGATGACCCCCCAGCCTCTGGCTGTGTCCTTGGCTCTCAGAGACCCCAGATAAAAGCTGTGACCCCTCGCTCACGGTGTGCAAGTCATTGCCTAACCTTGGCATGTGGCAACCCTTGCCAACTGTTGTGTGACCCAGGCTCAGTTTTGTAACATATTAATTGGTAACCTGACTAGAGGAGTTGACTGCCATTTCTTGTAATTTGGGTTGAAGAGGCAAAAAGCCAGTGCTTATGACCTGATTAGTAGTCCAAAACTGTCTTTATGACCTTGTCTTTGCCTATAGATATTCTGCGTTCTTGTGACTTAAGTCTTTGTGTCCAAAGCCTGTGCTTGCAATCCCTGACAACTGTAGATTTGCCAGAAGCCTCTCCCCAAATGTTCAAGACAAATAGTAGTGACTGAGGTACATGATGTCCAAAGCCGGTATATGTGATTCCATATTAGGGTGTTTCAAGATATTGTCAGATAATGGCCATGACCAGTGTTTTGTTAAAAGCAATGGATTAGTGGTTTTTTATGGCATAGTATATTTTCTGGACAGATTACTGAGCAGTCTCACGACCAAAGATGTTACTGCAATCAAGCAGCAGGAGCTCATGATGCCCACAGAAAATGGTTTCCTATGCTTGCTTTGTTAATCCCTAGTACTAGGTAGCCTACAGAAATTTGTAATACAAGCTCAGCAACACCCCAGACTGATGATGTCCTTAAATCTGTGATTTTGGACAATTATTATCGAAGGTTACACAATTCATTTGGTCAGTTGTGTCCCTGAGTTATATATAAATGCTCAAGGTGACCCTGTCCTTTTTTGTAACATACCACATTGAGTACTGGCATCACAACAATGTATGGTTTCGTACAAGTACCTATTTCTACTCTTGTTCAAACAGATGACTGTATGTAAGTGGGCCTGAGTAGCCATGAAACACTCAACCTGCATCCCTGATTGTGTTGGTGTACGTGGCCACTTGGGTAGCTGGGTTATTTTACCCAATGTATTCATTTGGCTTTATAGGTGTCCAGTTCCTGCCTCCCTCAGCCCTGGCACACCTCAAAAAAGTAGACATGGCCTCCTTTTTCTCAAGGAATTATAGGACTATTTTTTTCCCCTCATTATACATTTTATTATTTTGAAAGTTTTTGTTACATTTTCTAAGCTTATCTGGTTCAATGTGCCAAGATGCTCACACAGTTAACCAGCAAATTTTGGAATTGTCCACATCCATAAATTATGGTTAACAGAGCCCGCACAAGAAATACTCTTGATCTGCACAACGAGGTGGACAGACTAGCAATTATTAAATTTTATTAGTGGCCAAGACCAAGTGGTGTGCCTCAGGTTTATATTCCCAGCATTTCTAGATTCCATCTTTAACAGATATTGTCTCGTTCCTCCTGTGTACTAATAAGAATAAATTATTGTAGGCGAGTCCTGTCCTAGGTAGCTCTTGTACAGATTCTTTTTTGCTGCAAATTTTTGGGCATTCTTCAATTGCATTAAATTCTGCCTCATCTTTGCTAGCCTTGTAAGGAAAGTAAACATAAAATGCTTAGCACGAATTTTATACTGTCAAATTTGTAAGCTTCAGAGCAATATCTGGGTTTAATATGGATGACTTGAATTGAAGTATCAATTGAACTGTTTACCTCTGCTCAATATTCAACTCTTAAGCTGTCAGGGCCTAGTTATTGTGCCAAACCAGTAGCAATTATCACAGTTTGCAACATTCCACTACTGCACTGGGAATGATGGCTGCAGCATAGTTAAACAAAGTAATGTGTGAATTATTCAGATACTATTGGGCTAAGTATCATGAACTATCTATGGTATTAAACTATATAAACCTTTGTATATGCTATACCTGATTGTGATGTTTGTTTCATGGCCTTTCAGGTCTCATAGTTCATGGTTACTGTTTTTATATTTATATGGACAGTTATCCAAATTTATATGGCTATCCAGTAATAAATGTAGCTTCACGTGTCATTTATGATGAAAAGAGGAACATGAAGAGTTTAATAAAACACTCGTTTCCACTCATTATATCACAATGATACACATGTCTAATATAATTTGGGTGTTCATCAAATACCTCATTGATTTTGATTATCCATGAAAGTGTGCAGAGAAGTAAAAGAATCATTCTTCTGTTGATGGTTCATATCTTTTATTTTGCATCATTCAATGCAGTAGTACCATATGTTGGGTTACTACAGATATTTAGTTAAACATCTTTTCAGGGATTATTTTTCTCATTTTCTTTTATTGTTATACTACACTTGCACCTTTATTCTTTTATATTTCCATCATAATTTTCTTTAATTTCTATCCTAAACATAAAACTAGCTTCCACAGCAATGTGTCATGTTAAATGTTTATTCCAGTATTTGTAGGTTATTGCATAGAGTAAATTCATACATCCAGTTGGACCTCATTAATCTGAAACTTTTATCACTGGAAATGTCCCTGTATTAAATAATTGGGCTTGAGAACATTTCTGCAAATTTGATATACCGATGAATTCTTTTTATATGTATTAAAAAGACATTACCAGATAACACTGCTGTGTGACAATTCCTGTTTATGGTCTGCCCTGCATATTTTAGTTCACATGTATTAAAAATTAAGAAATAAGAGAGTGCAAGTAAAGGTGTTAATATGAGCTAAGTGACACATGGGGACCATTCTGATATTCCTATGGCACATTTGATAAAATGACATCTCTCCACTCTTGTTGAATCCACCCAAGTCTTTTAAATTTTCCTACTCATAACTTGGGTAAATGTTAACAGTTTAGAGTAGAGAAAATACAAAAATGCTCATCTGGAAAATTCATAGTACTAGAATTCTCCTGTACTGCACCAAGTTTGATTTCCATTTTTCTCTTGCACTAACCCTCAACCACATCTTTCCCCCACTCCTAACCATTGCACATTCCTACTTCTACATCCCTTTCTGCATGCTGCATGACCCTTATGAACTTAGTGCTTGCCTTGATTATAATACCTTGATTATAATAATAAATTTTTTATCTAAAACTTCAGTCAAAGGAGCTTTGGATTAAAGAGGTTCAACTACCTGCAGATTTTGGGGAAAATTCAGCATGTTACTTTTTATGTTGAATGTTCAGAAAAGTGTACATTATTGTAATAGGAATTGAACTTAGAAATCAATAAGATGTGGATGTAATTTACATAGTGTATGTGAAGATAAGTGCATGATTAATTTAAGTAAAGGTATATTTTCGTTTAATGTGTATGAAGCATGAGTACAGACAATGTATGAAATAAGTACATAAGGTAATGTATGAGGCATATGTATAGATAATGTATGAACCAGGAGTAAAATGAATGAATACAGGAAATTTATGAAAGCACAAGCAGAGAATGCAGTCTGTATACTAGGCAATATACGAAAACCTAAGTACAGGCAATGTATGAAAGATGAGTACATAAGTTATTGCATGAGGTATGAGTATAGGTAATGTATGAAACATAAGTACAGAAGTTTATGTATGAAGTGTGAATACAGAACGTAAATAATGTATGACTCATGAGTACTGAATTGAGTGATATATTAAAATTTCTTGAGATGTAAAAATAAATTATTATAATCATGGGGGATGGGGATGCTGAACCTATAGGGGTCATACAGCACCTGGGAGAATGGGAGGTAATCAGGTTTAATCCAAAGGAGGATATATCCAATATATTGGATCAAAGGCCCCTCTGGCATCAAAGCACTCTTTTGGGGGTGTAAAGATTAAATAGTAAAAAATAAATTTTTCTGTAATTAAATAAACATATGCCTTTGTTATCAGTTTGTTATGAGATTTGTATGGAAGTACTTTTTTTTTGTATTTTGACAGTGCTTAATTGATCATATTACTCAAAACAATTAAGTACCTAATAGTAATTTCAAAGTCTTTTTTTTTTTTTTTTTTTTTTTTTTTTAAACTGATCATGCTGCAGCCTTTGTGTTGGGAAAATGTCACATTGGTACTCCATTTTTGTCATATGAAAGTTTTTGCCTTTATATCAGTACATTCAAATTTTATGGATCTATTTGTCAGGTAACTAAATAAATAAAGGGCACTTACTTTTTTCATTTTCCTTTTACATTTTTTTCCTAAATAAAAAATAATCTGTAGGGTTCAAGCCCCTGATTGAAGGGGAAGGGGAAAGCGGGGTTTGATCTAGGAAAGGGGGGGGGAGAGTATGTGGTTCTTTCCCTTGGATAAGACTCTTCAACTTTGAGGCTTCACCTTCCCCTCCAATCCCTGCGGGTTTTTTTTGTACCTACTGAAATTTAGTCTTTTTTTTCATACAAGTACATTGCAGGTACGGGTTTTTTTATACTTTGATAAGTCACAATACTGTGGCAGAAAATTTAAAAAATAATCCACCTTTAGAGAGGAAA